GAAAGACAGCATAGCCCTCCCCTCATGGAGTTTATTATCAGAGATCAAGAAGGCAGACATTGAACAGGTAATTACAAGTGTGTCAGTTACTCTAGTGAACTTATGTTACTTTTATAGTAGGAAAAAAAACTATGCCAATGATGATTTTCAAGCACTGATGTTTGTATTGGCTTGGTCAAAAGGTTTGTTCGTTTTTTTCCATAAGATGGCTCTAGTAGCGCTTAGTTGTCTTTAACTTCATTTGAAACAATTTTGTTAGATTGTATTGTGACAGCTGTCATGTCAGTGTGCATTAAAAAAAAATCAAAATTGGTGAATTTTTGTGTAGCCATTTTAATATTAATGATGGGGGAAAGCAACATTTTCAGCATATTATGCTTTATTATTTTAAGAAAGATAAAAACACAACTGAAACACAAAAAAATATTCATGCAGTGTATGGAGAAGGTGCTGTGACTGATCGAACGTGTCAAAAGTGTTTTTTGAAGTTTCATGCTGGAGATTTCTTGCTGGACGATGCTCCACAGTTGGGTAGACCAGTTGAAGTTAATAGCGATCAAATCGAGATGTTAATTGAGAACAATCAACATTATACCACGTGGGAGATAGCCGACATACTCAAAATATCCAAATCAAGCATTGAAAATCATTTGCACCAGCTTGGTTATGTACATCGCTTCGATGTTTGGGTTCCACATAAGTTAAGCGAAAAAAACCCTGACCGTATTTCTGCGTGCAATTCTCTACTTAAACATATGGAAATGTTCCATTTTTAAAATAAATTGTGATGGGCAGTGAAAAGTGGATACTGTACAATAATGTGGAACAGAAGAGATCGTGGGGCGAGCAAAATGAACCCCTGCCAACCACACCAAAGGCTGGTCCAAAGGTGATGTTGTGTATATGGTGGGATTGGAAGGGAGTCCTCTATTATGAGCTCCCCAGAAAACCAAGTGATTAATTCCAACAAATACTGCTCCCAGTTAGACCAACTGAAAGCAGCACTTGACGAAAAGTGTCCAGAATTAGTCAACAGAGAACGCATAATCTTCCATCAAGATAGTGCAAGACCACATGTTTCTTTGATGACCAGGCGAAAACTGTTACAGCTTGGCTAGGAAGTTCTGATTCATCTGCTGTATTCATCAGACATTGCACCTTCAGATTTCCATTTATTTCGGTCTTTACAAAATTCTCTTAATGGAAAAAATTTCAATTCCCTGGAAGACTGTAAAAGGCACCTGGAACAGTTCTTTGCCCAAAAAGATTAAAAGTTTTGGGAAGATGGAATTATGAAGTTGCCTGGAAAATGGCAGAAGGTAGTGGAACAAAAGGTTGAATACGTTGTTCAATAAAGTTCTTGGTGAAAATGAAAAGTGTCTTTTATTTTTACTTAAAAACCAAAGGAACTTTTTGGCCAACGCTATAATTTCTAAGACACCTTTTTTAGGACAAGAAAGGCGCAATTACATGAAAAATCTACATAGATCTCATACAGTGTGACGTTTCCTTTCCAGTGAAAAGAAAAATGTTTAGATTTCTTATCTGTTGGGTGGTTTGTAATGATATAACAATATACACCCAGGCTTTTTTTTTTCCTAAATAGCATTTTAAAAAAAATTATTTATTTGGCTGTGCCGGGTCTTAGTTGTGGCACGCGGGATTTTTATTTGTGGCGTGTGGGCTCCTAGTTGCGGCATGTCGCATCTAGTTCCCTGACCAGGGATTGAACCCTAGCCCCTTGCATTGGGAGTGCGGAGTCTTAACCACTGGACCACCAGGGAAGTCCCTAAATAACATTTTTCTAAAAGAAACTGAATAGGCTGAGATCTTGGTGAAAGTTATGGAACTTTGGAAAACCCCAGTATTCACTGGAAATTATAATTAAGCATTCAGATGAATTGGCTCTGGTTGAGGAGGGAGTGAGAATGTTAACATTAATATAAAAAAATTTTTTTTTGCTTTTTCCATCTACTTGTGAGGTTTCAAGTGTGTGGAAAACCAAGAATATCAACAGCAAAACCCACCCTGTAGACTGACTGTGACCCTAAAAGTTTCTTTTATCTGGGATCAGGAATGGAAAATTTTATCCTAAGCCATGGCTTTTTAATGGGTGTGTTTTGTTTTGTTTTGAAGAAAGACCTGAGTAAATCAAAAGGGTTACAGAGCAGTGTTTGGGTAACTTAACCATGCTTAATGGCCGTGAGTGCATTCCTCTAAACAGTCTGAACTGTGCTTCCACTGTCGCTTATCCATTTATCAACTGAGCCCTTATGCTGAGCCTCATGAGCTCCTCTGGCCTTTTACCTGCTTCCTCAGTGGAAAAAGTCTCTGTGTATCTTGGTTAAGTTAAAGCGTGGCTCTTTGGTCTGTTGCTGCTCTGGTCTCGGGAAGGAAGTATTCGTGAGCTCTGTGTTGCCTTGATAGAATCCCCTGCCCTCGCTTCTGTCTCCTTCTGTGAATTGGGAATGTACTTCCTAAGCCAGGGGTGTTGGAAGGAACGAATAACAAGCAGCAAAGTAGTGACATCACCTCTCGCTGTAAGTGTGCTGGTATCACTGTCTCCTTCAGGGACTGATGAGAGTAGCCCCCTGCCAAGTGAAGGCTCACCCTCTTTTGCCCTTTGGTACAACTAATGGTTATACTGGATGTAATGTGTTTCAAACCAACCTGAGGCTTTCTCTCATTTGAAAACCTCAGATCTTAGGAATAGTGAGGGAAATGTGGCTCTGTTGACCATCACTTTCCGTCCATGCTGATGTTTCCCTCTTGCATTTGGAATTCTCTTTCACTTGCTGGGTCTACTCCTGCTTCATGTTTCCAGGTAGAGTTACAGTGCTCCCCTCTTCTCTTCCACTGGCCTTAGCGCTCCCTCCTCCCCAATAATGGTTTTTTTTTTTTTTCATGTTTGGAAAACTGTAAGTAGTTCCATTCATTTGGAGCACAGCGTGCCCGTGAGAGAGATGTAGGAGCTGAAACTAAAGAGAAGGAGCATGCAAGTCATCAGGAGCCTTGGGTGCCAAGCTAATGGATTTGAACTTCATCCTGAAACCTTTGGGATGTCATTAAAGTATTTTAAGCAAGGGAGAGGAATTCTGAGATCAAATTTGCATTTTATTACAGTGGCTTTGGCAGAGCAACACTGGATGAGAAAATGCTGGCTCTTAACTTTTCTAACTTCTCCAAATTACTCCTTACACGTGCTCCCTGGTCTCACAGACCTGTGTACACAGGATGGGGCTTGGTTTCTTGGCCTCTGGGCTGTTGCATATACAATTCCTTCTTCCTAGAACATGCTTTTCCTCCGTAGTGTATTTTTTTTCTTTTTTTAAATTGAAGTGTAGTTGAGGTACAGTGTTATCCCAATAATGTTTTAATGTTCTAAGAGATCTTCATCTCAGGATTCTCTTCCTGTTGTGTTAAGTGTCTTTCCTGTCCACTGCACTCTCCTGTCTTAGTGTCTGTGCTTGGTTTATAGATTAAGGCCCCGTTGTACTTCTGGAGTATATAGAGGGCAGCAACAGTTCTGTTTCTAGCTGTGTTGAACCTTGATCTGGTAACTGACTTTACAGCCTAAATCAAGGAGCCTTGAACCCTCTGATTTCATGAACGATGCACTCCCTTCTGATATCTTTTCTTCAGTAGAACATACATCTCCTCTGTCTGGAATACTTTTTTCAGAGAGCAACCTTTTGCTTTTCTGAGATGGAGCTGGGCTACCTGAGGACAGGGTCACCTTCCCACTGGTTGGCTGAGGGGTCAGAGGTAAATGTTTTGGTGCTTACTTATTACTGGAAGGCAAAAGGTGGCAGACACAAAATCAGTCACTGAGACCAAAAGTTATTTCAAACATTGTGTATATCTTCTGCTTATAAAGTTATGACAGTGCTTGACAAAGTCACTGCCAAGGGCTGGGGGCGGGAACCTAGACTGTTTATGGAAGTTCATTTTGTTTTGATTTTGATTTTCCTGGGAGAAATCATTGTAAACAGTTACATTCTCAGAAGCACCCCTACGATAATAAACATAAACACAGCATTGCAGTGAAATTAATCCTGTAGTAACCCAAATGTAATCTCATGCGTTGGAAGTGAAGCAGATGAATGGACGAATCTGCCCGGAATGGAGGTGAAGAAGTCAGGAAACTTGGGTCTGTCCCTGTCTCAGTTCTTGACGTGCTCTTTGTTGCTCTGAGCAAGGAAGTTGTTTAATGTGCCCCTGTGACAGCGGTGGAGGAGGAGTGACACCACCTGTTGGCCATATTGCAGCCCACCCTGGGAGGCTTCATTATGGTGTTGGACGTGAATTGACTTTGAGCTCTGGAAGAAAGGGGCAATGTAAATACAGGCATTTGTATCCTAGGTGCTCCGGAGTTGCAATCCATTCTCAAAGGCTTACACAGCCAGTCTCAGTTTAGCAACACTGTTCTGGTCACAGCAGAGCTCCCTTCTTTGAGAAGATCTTGTTGTTGACTGTTCTGGAAAGAAACAAGAATATATCTCCAAAATACCAAAATAGCTATCGGAAGAGTTGTGACTAGTTTTAACATAGGTACCAATTAGTGAATTAGCATAAATTATGAGAAGGGGGTCAAAACTCATCACACCATGTCTTGTTTGAAAGCCTATTCTCCTAACACTATGTCAAAACACAGGGCACAGAATAAGGCAGATGTAAAGAATTATTGTATACATGACTTTGAATTCCTTCATAGGCCAGAATGTGCTTTTCTGCATTTTGAATGCTGATAATACTAATACTAATAGCTGTTATGCTGTACCTAATACGTACCAGTCTGCAAGTAATTCTCACATATGTAAGTTGAGGCTCACAGCAGCCCTGTGTGGCAGGTACTCTCGTCATCCTCATTTTACAAGTGAGTAAATTCAGGAACAGAGAGGTGAAGTAACCTGCCTAAGGCCAGTCAGCACCAAGTGACAGAGCCAGTCTGGCTGAGTGGAGGCTGGCATCTCTTCGACCAGTGTCATGTTCTGTTGCAGCATCTTGATCACACAAGCAAAAAAAATCAGTGCAATGAATGCTGTTTTCTAGGAAGAGAATGGGGACTACACATATGTGGACAGAGTGAAGTTACCCTTGGCTCACGGAACCTTGTTACTCATGGAAGGAGCCACCCAAGCAGACTGGCAGGTGAGAACATGCAAGTAACATGGATTTGCTGTCATGTAGAGGCTGTTTCCTGACTGGCTTGCGGTTATTAATTTCTGTATTAGACTTGGTGAAAAGCAAGTGGCTTTTATAATGAGCAAGAGGCAATAAACTGACATCATTTCCAAGGGGTTTTGATTGTACTGACAGTCAAAATGGCCCTCTACAGCAGCGGTGTCCACTAGAAATTCCTGTGAGGATGGAAATACTCTGTATCTGTGTAGCCCAATGTGGTAGCCACTATACACATGACTGTTGATCTCTTGAGATATGGCTAGTGTGCTGAAGAACTGAATTTTTAATTAATTTAGAGCTTCAGGCAGCCAGTGGCTAGCATATGGGGCTGCACAGCTCCATAGCTTAGGCCAGGCCATTTTTAAGGTGTGCAAATTAAGAACACTTAGCATGAGAGGGGAATCTCATGCCTGTCTGTGATCTCAGCCATTTATGTGTTTTCTTTTGAGCTTTGGAAAAATGGCAGGAGGCTGAGAGGAAGAGCAACACTTAGAAAAAATGAAACTGTCTCCCTGTGAGGGTGCTGACATATCACAGTGAGGGTGGTGGTAGAGATTTGTTTCAGAGAAGGAGACCTTTCTCCACAAGACTTAAAAGAGCTATTGCTGCTTATTGACGGGAGATAAAATTGAAACATGTCTATGTCCTCATAAATAAGTTTTAAATTGCTTTGGAATAAAAGTGTAAGTGTGTGTATGTCAGAGTTATTCATATTTCCATTTAGCATCGAGTGCCCAAGGAGTACCATTCTAGAGAACCAAGAATAAACTTGACCTTTCGGACAGTTTATCCTGACCCTTGAGGGGCGCACTGGTGATGTGAGGTCTTGGAGAGGGAAGCTGTGCTGAGACTGAGCAAACCTTCCACCATGAAGAAACTTCCGGAGACTGGTCCAGCTGCTCTCATGGTGTGGCTGTTTGGAAGATGTGGATGGGATTTGCTTCCCAGCTTGGAGTCCTATTAAACGACAGCCTACAGTTCATGTTTGTAATATGTTTACTGTGGGAACAGTAATCCCTAATCATGTTTTGAAATCACATATTTTCTTTAGGCAAGTTAAAAACTGCTGTGGCTGTGTTCACAGATGATTTTGTCCATAAGCAGTTATTTTTCTGCCCTCTCCCGCTTCATTTGAAGAAATATGAATGTACTTTGCCTCCGGGGTAAATCCACACATGTTTGTTCCTTGTGCCTTCAGCAAAGTGGAGATACAAACATGAGTCAGTGACTCTGGAGCCTTGCGTAGGCAGACAGCTGCTAAAACCCAAACAGAGCTTTGTTGAAGTCTGCCTTGACTCCTGAACATCTTGGCTTGTGTGCTATTGTAATGCAAAGCTGCATATTCTGGGAGCACTTTATTTAACTGAGTCTCCTTGCCTGTCCATCTTCCCAGGATATGCTCAGACAGGTTACAGGCCTCTGAATAAAGAGCAGAGGTGGTATTCTCCAGTGCATCTCCAAGTAGCCACCTGGACTACTTGAAATACAAGAGAAAACTGTCCCCTCAGAGGGAGGAAGAATTGAGTGATGTCATGAGACATTTCGGCTGAAGAGCAGCAAATGCCCTGCTAGTGGCAGCTGTTCTACATAGATTATTTCCCCCTGGAGAATGACTTGAGTCATTTAAACCCTAGCCAGATAGGAGCGGGAGCAGTCCTACAGGGAACAGACTCAGTTACCTAAGAGTCCTGTTCACTTTAGATTTCAGTAGCCCGATGACTAAGGCTTTCTTCTGACTCAGTGTTTTCTTCTACACATGTTCCCGAGATGAAAGCCTTAGTCTCTGATGTCACCAGGGTTCCCAAAGCAGACAGAGCGACTGCCCCTTGTTGCATCATAAAAGCACGTGTCTTCCTGACCCCTTGACTTAGGAGCCGCATGCCAATTCCAAACCAAGGCAGGGAAAACTGGAGAGAAAGAGAACAGATTTAAATGGATGAAAGTAGGGCGAGAGAGTTGGAGTTTCCCTTAGCTCCCTGTGGGGAAAATTTACCGAGCCTTCTTGCTTTTGATCTTGTTTCCATTCTGTGCTGTAAGATTGATGATCTCCATGATCACAATAAAATGCCAAAGGCTGGGCAGGCTCTTCCCCAGAAGGCAGATGAATGCCATGCCTGGCCAGGCGCTGTTCTCTGACAAGCTCTGTAGCTTCTTTAACCAGAGTCTCTTAAATGTTGTTGCCTGTGTGTTGTTCCTTTCTCTAAGAAATGCTAAATGCTTTATGAAATCTGAACATCGTACTGACTGAGCCTTCCTGTGAGGGAGGTACAAATCACCATAACTATAAAACGAAACCTACTCAATCCCTAGCTTTCCTCCAATTCAAACAAACACAACCTGGCCAGGGTGGTGCAGCCAGCTTTGGCTATGAGCTGGCTGCATGACCTGGGGAAATTCCTCTTCTGTTCCCACAAGTGACAGGGCTGGCAGATGACTCCAGGTCTTAACCACATCCCTCCTGACCCGGGGTCATGCTCTCCCCTCGCATCAGCTCCGATTTCACCTCTTCCCTCATCACTGCCATGTCTGTCAGGGAAACTAACTCCTACTCTTCAGCAGACAGCCTGGACCACCACCTGGGTTTCTTCACCTGAGAGCAGCAGTCTTAGGTTTTGTTTCTTGCTGTCAAATGCCGGAACTGCCATTCTTTCTACCACTAAGATAATGTCCCTTCTGAAATGTCAAGTAGGTACTTGCCATAGAATAAAAGTACAGGGTTAGGACCGGACAGGAATTCCAGACCCCAGCAAAGGAGGCCCATGCTCAGTGACTGCACCAACCTGTTGCTGTGTTTTACTGGTGGTAGATCTTAACTAGGAGTTAAGGGCGAAGCTATTTTTGCCAACATTACTTGTAAAGCAGCGGAAGCAAATATAACGGCTGTCGCATGAAGAAAAACAGGTCTAGCTTTTTAGTTGCCCGTTTTTTGAGCTTTAATAACCTGCCAGAACAATTTAAGAACCGTCCTAGGAGCTTTTCATACATAATTCCTAATCCTCCCGGAAGCCCTGCCAAAACAAAATGCTGTTCCCACTGTAGGGACGAGGCAGCTGAGCCTCCAGGAGGCGAAGTCATTTCCTAGGACCTATGAACGGCAGAACCAGCACATACAGCACCGGCTAATGCCTAGACTGTGCTTTTCCCTCTGCCATGCAGGATTTAGGCAGAATAGTGGGCACCCCCAGGCCCATGAGCCTCAGGGCTTGCTCATGCAGAGCGGGCAACCCAAGCTCACCCTAGTGCCCTGCTGACCAGGCTGACTGCCAGGCCACTCTGTTTGTCCCCTGGCTTTCCTGTGAACCAGTGCAGGTATCTGCACCTCATCTCTCCTTAATCAACATGAGCATCTCCTAGTCAGAAACTCTGCTGCCAACTGGACTAGAACTGTCCAGTTTACTGGGTGGGGGAAGCTCATTTTGGGGGGACACAGTCCAATTTATGACAAATTAGACAAATTCTCATCTAACCTTCCTGGCAAGTGACTGAGACCATGTTTCCTGACCATATCCAAGCCAACTTTCAGAGGTAGACAGGTGGTCCCTTCCTCCCCTCACTCTTACCTGTGAGTACATTTGGGGACCCTGATGCCCAGACTCAGCGTCAGGCTTGCTCACGCTTACCAACACCACGACTCCGACCAGCAGACAGCCCGAGAAGCAGGGTAAGCTCTGCACACTAACAACATGTTGACAACAGGCACCTTGCCTCAAAGCATGGGTCGGAGCAGTCTGACACAACATCAGCTTGTATCCTCAGTCTACAGCTAACCACTAACTCACATGGCATCGATGATTCCTAATAAGTTTGGGTCACAGCCCATAAACCTGCCGTTTTCCTGTGACACTCCCTCCCTGCTGCCTCCATGGCTGGTATGACCTGCCCTCGCGAGTGGCAGGTCTGTCGGGACCTGGTCAGTAAGTGGCACTGCCTCCTGAATTGTGTCATGGCAACCCCAGAAGAGTTCAGTGGGCACTGCAGCGAGCAGAGCGCTCCAGCTGGGCGGCTTCAGAGGAAGCCCTGACACGTGGGTCCCTGCCCTGCTGGGAATAGTTCTTCCTTGAGTTCTGGCAGCTCTCACTTGGCTGCAGAGTATCTAAGACCCGCTTTGCCTTTTCTGGTCATAAACACTTGTAGTGTTGAATCTGAAGTCTTGATTGCTGTATGTTCTTAACCGTGCCTTTGAAGAAGCTGAATGTTTCCATAGTGATGCATTCTGTTTGTTTAAATCTTTACATATATGTGGTTCCACCCACGCTCTCCTCAGAGGGATTTAGTTCACAACTGTCTCCTTACCCCCTCCCAGCTTCCCTTTGCAAGGAACCCCAGTATGAGACCCCTGTCAGTTTTGTGCTGCTGGAATCCATTCTTAGATATGATGACTCCTGTGTCTCGGGGTCAGCAGGGAAATTATTTTGATGTTTACTAATGAGGGTGGAACACAGGCTAATGGTGCCTTTTCCAGCTGGCTTAGTACTGCTGTGATAAATCAGAAAAGCCTTCCCCAGCCTGTGACCAGAGCCCCATGCTGGGCTGGGCTTTCAGCTGGGCGCGTAGGAAAACAGGATAAATTAGGTAGTATTTTTGTAGCTAATGTTACCCAAAAGATCGTTTTCTCAGATGAGCCAACTTGAAGATGACCAAGGCATGTGTGACACTGTTATCATTACAGTTATTTGAATGCTATCACTTCCCCTCCATGTAATGGTGATGTCACACTCCCTGGACACCAGGGACAGTCCCTATTCTCATGTGGCCTCCACGAGTGTGGACGTGCTCAGGCAGGATCCTGGCCTCTGACCCTACTAGCTTTTAACTCTGGACACAAAGTCTAGGTTTCTAAAAGGGAAGGAAAGGTGAAAGCCAGGAGGAAGTGTAGAGTATTTACTGGACCTGTTACGTACATAATCTGACTTATTCTTAAAAGCAAACCTATGAGGCGGTTGGTTGGTTTTTTAAACAGCTGAGGAAACTGAGGTACCTAGAGGATAGATTAGATCCTGAGACTGGGTGTCCCTGGTGGGCAGGCTCCTGCGTGGTTACTTGTCTGCAGGCATTTAGTGCGATCTCTGGGCCTCCCCCGGCCCTGGCGTAGGGGGGATGGGGGAAGCGGCAGCCTGAGTCTCCTGGGGCTGGAGGGACTGTGCTTTTCTCATCCCCTTTAGCAGCCGGCAAAACCTCGGGTCCTTGCCTGGGAGCCTGGAAGCTTCTCCCCAGGGGGCGGGAAGCAGGAGGAAGTGGTGGGCCAGGCGTGGGGCTCTCGAGGGCTGCGTGATCAGGTTGCAGTTAGCCGCCCACTGCAGGAAGGGTGTGGGCGAGCGCTGTGGCCAGCGCCTGCCGCACAGCGCCTGTGATGCTCCAGACGCCCCCGAGAAGGCGAGCGAGAGCCTGCAGGGCAGCATTAGCCGCGGAGACAGGACGGCAGCCTCGCCTTCCCAGGAGGCTGCAGCGGGGAGGCCCTCCCCCGGGCCGCTCTGTCGCTCTGAGGACCGAGTCGGAGCCTCTGCCACCAGGTCCCTCCCTGCCCCCACCCTTGTCTGCATGAGGATGGGACCATCTAGGAAGGGAATCCACACCCTCCAAAAAGCGATTCTGGGTTGCGGGCTGTGTCCTCCCTGCCTAAAGAAAGTTTGTGGGATGGGTGGACGAAGGATGCCGTGAGGGCCTCCCAGACTTGGGCCTGGGGTATTCAGGCTGCTGCCCACCCGGTCGGGACTCAGGAGAGTCCAGGAGAGGAGGAGGGCCCCGCAGAAGTGTCTCCCCCATGCCCCTGTTGGTTAGAGAAAACTTTTCTGTAATGTTTTCTCTGAAAAATATATCAAGGGATTAGCCACTAATTTCTTCCCTGAACCCTGTCTCTGATGTTAGCTGTGAGCCTCTATTCACCCCGTGTGAAGGGGAAAGGAGGACAGTTAGCCTAGAGGCAAAAATCTGGGGAGGACGTCTGAGTGTGTGGCTTCCCGCTCGTCCCCCAGTCGGCCCC